AAACCCCAACCAGGAAGCAGCAGTACCTAGAACTTGCCTATGCCCCCATGCATGGCCTTTAACTCCACGTATAACCCGGGGAATCGAGCATTGCTTGCTGCGGTGCGGCTCTCTGTATCCTTAACCCTAAACTCTAAACCCTAAACCCTAAACCCTAAACCCTAAACCCTAAACCCTAAAGCGAAAAAAAAACAAAAAAAAAACTCAGTCAGGGATCCAAGCCTCTTGTTTGGCTGTCTCGGCCAGGCCCTCAGTGGGCCAAGCGGCTCCGATCACGCTGGGGGTAGAAGGAGCTGCTACCCTAAACCTGCTACCCTAAACCCTAAACCCTAAACCCTGAACCCTAAACCCTAAACCCTAAACCCTAAACCCTAAACAGTTTAGGGGCAGGGGACCAGATGGATCGATAGAGTGTAGCCTTTGGGGTTTTAAAGGTTTGGGGGTGTAGCGTCCAGGTAGAGTTTTAAGGTCACCAATGGTTTCAGGGCTTCTGTGTAGGGTTCAGGGTTCGAAGCTATTTGTACGAGAACTTACGTTATACATCGCTCAACTAGTTATGTAGTTTTGGGCCCCCATCTGGTGTGAACCACTACAAGCTCCTGAGAGGCAGGCCCTTAAACCCTCTGAACAAGATTCCTACATACGATCCTGTTGAAGCCAATAAGGGAAAATATGAAATAACCCCAGGGCCTACCTGCATAAAGGGCTACTTGAATTTATAAGCAACTGGCGGATTCCGCGTCGGTGTGCTGCTCTTAGCGGGGGCAGTATCCAACCGAAACCTTGAACATGCAAAGCAGGCGCCAAGGCCCCTCTACTGCCCTAAACGCAGACTCGAAACCCTACAAAAAAAAGACTCATTCAAAAACCCATAAAAGACCCTATAAAACATCCTATAGAATCCTATGAAAAACCATCTAAGCCTTGTAGAAGCCCCATAGAAATCCTACAAACCCTAGAAAAAACCCTACAAAACACCTCCAGAGCACTCTGAAAAACCCGCTGGGGGCCCCGACTGTTTCCTCCTCATACCCATTACAACCCATTGAAACCCTTAAAAAGCCGGTTAGAACTAGAAAAAACAAAAAAACAGGCTGGGGCCCCCGACTCTTTCCTCCTCGGCCTCGCGCAGTTTCTCCTCCGCAGCCTTCTTCTGGCCTTCGGCCAGCATCAGCCTGGTTTAGGGCTTGGGGTTTGGGGTTCAAGGGTAAGACGGGAAGCCCCAAGTCTGTTCGAAAGCCCCTTGACATGTAGGTTCAGTCATGGTCCCATATGCCTTTCTGTATGAACAAATATCTCCACGGCCGCCCCGTCTCTCTCTCTCTCTATATGTGTATGTATATACACACACACACAAGCCAACGAGCCGTCTTCTTGAACAACAATGGCAGTTCAGGCCCTAGATCTTCTTCTGGCGGCTGGCGTTTCGGCCGAAGTGACATTCTTTGCATTGAGCGCACATCCTAGAAAAGGACCTGATCCCCGAATCCGGATACGCGTATGCCCCGAGACACATCAGATGTGAATCTTGAAAGCGTTCATGAGGTTTTGGGTGTAGGGCTTGTAGGGGTTTAGGGTTTATAGGGTTTAGGGTTTAGGGGTTAGGGTTTAGGGTTCAGGGTTCAGGGTTTAGGGTTCAGGGTTTGGGGTTCAGGGTTTACGGTTTAGGGGGGCTGCCGGGGCGCTTTTACAAATGACAAATACATGGTTTAGGGACCGCGCCGGGCCTGATGTTGGCGGTGCGAACCATTTCTTCGGCTTCTTTCTCCTTGCTACTGAGCCCAGCTGCCAGCTTGGGGGCAACTTGTTTTGTTTGTTTAGGGTTTAGGGTTTAGGGTTTAGGGGTTTAGGGGTTTAGGGGTTTAGGGGTTTAGGGGTTTAGGGGTTTAGGGGTTTAGGGGTTTAGGGGTTTAGGGGTTTAGGGTTTAGGGGTTTAGAGGGTTTAGAGGGTTTAGAGGGTTTAGAGGGTTTAGGGACATGTGTTGTAGCTTAGGTCAGAAACTTCTTCTAGCGTTTCGGGGTTCTGGAGCTATGGTGTTCAGGGTTAAGCCTACAACATGACAGGGATGGGCCTGCTAGCTAGCAACACATGTAAGGGCGCTGAGTAGTTGTCGAACTATGTGAGTACTACTGCACGTCTGAAAATATGTCGGTTTCGGGTGTTGCCGCTTCCGGGGCTACCTTGTAGACCTTTCGATGGCAAGTAGGGCTTCGGCCCGATATGTGGTGGACGACCATGAAATTCAGTAACCCTGAAGCCCTAATCTCCTCGACCCCAAACCCCAATCTCCAAACCCCAAACCCTACGTACTCGAGACCCTCAAACCCCTACTTTTCACCTTGCAGACTTGTGGGGGGGGGGGGGGGGCACCAGTTACAGGCGCCTGGATTTGGATGCGGAGCTTGTTCTCCTGATTCATGAAGCTACCAGAATTGGTGGCACATCAACGGTTTAGGGTTTAGGGTTTAGGGTTTAGGGTTTAGGGTTTAGGGTTTAGAGTTTAGGGTGTTGGGTTTAGGGCTCTTGCATGGCGGGGCCTCGGGTTTGGGGTCGCGTCAAGGGTCTACGGGCTTTGGGCTTATCAGGTGTAGATATTTAGGGTCGAGGGGTCCAGGGTTAACCTGGGAGCCCAATGCCCCGTAGGTCAAGGATACACCTCAGGTCATAGCAAGGGCCCCTAGTTTAGAGTATACTTCGTCTCGTCACCCTAATCCTAGAACCATGAACCCTGCACGTAAGTAAGGGCTCTCGGGCTCTATATGTTATGGTTCAAGGTTTAAGGTTTAGGCTCCAGGCACGGCGTACACACAGCGTAAACCGAAAACAGTGACACCTCCAAGCATTCCCCCTAGCTAAGGGGATAGGGTTTCGGGCATTGAGCGGTCTCCCTTCTTGGGGAGGTTTCCGGGCAAAAACCCTAAACCCTAAACCCTAAACCCTAAAACTGTACCCACTCACCGACCAAAGTAATTGAAAAGGTGAAACTTCCTTGGGGGGGACCAAGCCTTGCCACCAAGATGTCCCTAAGGGTCCATGTACCTAAATAGGGGGGGGATGCTTGGGCCTTAAAGTACTTCCTATATGCGCGCTTTAAAGGGCCCCAAGTATTATGATCATGAGGTACATGGACCCTTATGACCTTAGGGTATAGCCCGTCCTCTGTCCATCTATATTTGTTCTGTCGCTCTCTCTCTGCACTTCTATCAATCACGATCTACAACGGTATATACCTACCTCGCCGTATGTGCAGATCTCTATATACAGGAATCTACATAAACAAATAGACAAACAAACAAATAAACAACTACTATATATATATATGTATATATGTACGTATAGATATAACTTTCAAACATAATTCGACACAGATGATCACGTATGTGTCTACTTATAAACACCATACATATTGCATGTAGACTTAGTATAACACTATCTGCAGTAGGGTTTATATTTCTTGTACCCCCCCAAAAGGACATCCAGTGTATACACTCACCAATATAAAAAACGGAACCTTATATACACTCACCAAAAACAGAAATATAAACCCTGCTTCATATGGGGTTCCAAAGCCTGCTTCATATCCGTGTTCTTTTCTCAAGCTCAGGCGTTCCCATGTTCTGAGCGCGCTGAACAGTCGGCGCCTGCGTCACCGCCCGCAGCTCTCCCTTGTGGTGCTTGTCAAGCAGCTCCTGGCTGCATGCGAGGAAGGCACTAGAGTAGTGTTTTCTTTTGTTTGGGGTTTAGGGTTTAGGGTTTAGGGTTTAGGGTTTAGGGTTTAGGGTTTAGGGTTTAGGGTTTAGGGTTCAGGGTTCAGGGGCACCTACGTGCCAACAAAGCCCAGGCGCGCGCCGCCCCGCCCTGGTTTTGACGTTAGGGTTTCCTTGCTCTCTCTGATCGTGCTCAGGCTTATCATTCTTGTTGACAGTGGCGCAGGCTGGAAGCATTCGGGTGATCCTCAGCCCCGGTGTCTGAGGTTTGCTTTGAAGGCCTTTGGAGACCCCTAGACTGCCCCTAGAGGCCTGGTGAGGACGTTGGAAGCTTTTGGAGGCCCGTAAGAGACCCGTGGGAAACCCTTGAAGAAAAATTATGGTGTGGTTTCTGCCATTTCCAAAACTAATACAGGCATAGGCCACTTTTGACTGTCAAAGGGAGGCAAGGGAGAGGCTAGCCTAACGAGCCCGGTCATCCCTACCACAGCGAGGTTTAGGATTTAGGGTTCGGATTTCGAGTTTCGGGTATTATTTGGGGTGTGTCTCTCCCTGAGGCTTAACCCCTAAGCCCGACATCTCGAGGTCAAGGTCCAAAGTTACAGCTTAGGGCTTGGGGATGAAGAGCTATTTTGTTGCGGCTAAGGTACTTAGGGTTTAGGGCTTAAGTTTCGGGATTCAGGGTTGTCGGGATTCGGGGTTAGGGGCTTAGGGTTTGGGACGCCGGCCTGGCATTGCACCGCCACGTCGGGGAAAGCGGCAGCGGCCGTCTTCACAACACCTTAACCGCACTTCGAACATGAAGGTACAGGGTGGGGCCCCCTAGTTATAAGTAGAGTTATAAGGGCCCTAAATTGGGTTATAAGGACCCTAAGTTAGGTTATAAGTCCCTTAACTACACTTAGTATAGTAACGGGGCCCCGGTTTATAGCCTAGGGTTTAGGGTGTACTACGGTTTCATATTGGAAACTGTGTCCAAAACTTCCTACACAGGAGTTGGAGCACACCCACCTAGACCCGCAACGAACCCATGCAAAGAGATGGTAGCTCCGAAAGGGTTCGGGGTTTAGGGGTTAGGGTGGCTGGTTGTGGAAGCAACATGGCAAAATTCCAGGCATGCACTGACCAAATCCAAAACCCTACAACCCCATAACCCCCATAACCCCGATAACCCCCATATAAAACCCCGATAACCCCTACAACCCTATACCCCTACAACCCTATAACCCTATGTATGTAGGACCTTTATGCGTTATTTGACGGTCCTGCTTCGCCTTCCAAAACTTTAAGGATTTTAAGGAATTTAGGGGTTTTCCAAAATTTTAAAAGGACCACAAAATCCTTAAAATTTTGAAAGCCCGGACCTTTCAAAATTTTAAGGATTTTAAGGAATTTAAGGCCTTTTAAATTTCTTAAAATCCTTAAAATCCTTAAAATTTTGAAAGGAAATTAAATTATTTTCCGGAAAGAGGCAGGCCCATTTAAAATTTTAAAAATCCTTAAAATCCTTACAATCCTTAAAATTTTGAAAGCCCGGGCCTTTCAAAATTTTAAGGATTTTAAGGAATTTAAGGCCTTTTAAATTTCTTAAAATCCTTAAAATCCTTAAATTTTGAAAGAAAATTAAATTATTTTCCGGAAAGAGGCAGGCCCATTTAAAATTTTAAAAATCCTTAAAATCCTTAAAATCCTTAAAATTTTGAAAGCCCGGGCCTTTCAAAATTTTAAGGATTTTAAGGAATTTAAGGCCTTTTAAATTTCTTAAAATCCTTAAAATCCTTAAAATTTTGAAAGAAAACTAAATTATTTTCCGGAAAGAGGCAGGCCCATTTAAAATTTGAAAAATCCTTAAAATCCTTAAAATCCTTAAAATTTTGAAAGCCCGGGCCTTTCAAAATTTTAAGGATTTTAAGGAATTTAAGGCCTTTTAAATTTCTTAAAATCCTTAAAATCCTTAAAATCCTTAAAATTTTGAAAGAAAATTAAATTATTTTCCGGAAAGAGGCAGGCCCATTTAAAATTTTAAAAATCCTTAAAACCCTTAAAATCCTTAAAATTTTGAAAGGTTGGGGCTTTCAAAATTTTAAGGATTTTAAGGAATCTAACGCCTTTTAAATTTCTTAAAATCCTTAAAATCCTTAAAATTTTGAAAGAAAATTAAATTATTTTCCGGAAAGAGGCAGGCCCATTTAAAATTTCAAAAATCCTTAAAATCCTTAAAATCCTTAAAATTTTGAAA